CATGTTTTCCGTCCCGTTTTTGCTCATTTCTCGGAGGCAAAATGAGCAAGAACGCTCATTTGTACATCATTCTAGACAGAAATAAAAGGCCTTTTTAGAAAGTGAACGATGGAGGGGGAAATGTTGGCAGTTTTCTCAAAAAATGCTTGAATTCAAGAAGTTTTAGGTTTGCGTGTTTTTTTTGTTGCAAAATCCACTTTGAACATGACGCTGCTTTTTTCGAAGTTTCTCAAGAACCATTCGAACCACAGAATTCGTTTTGGCATCGTTGAATAGATAATTAAATGGGGGGGTCATGACCCCCCATGACCCCCCCCCCTGGATCCGCCCTTGCCCATATTAGTAATTTATGTGTATGAATCATTATACTTACTCTGGTGCGTAGCAAATGTATTTTCTGCAGTTGTTTCTCGTTAAAGAACGTGTCTTGTTTCCTAAAAAGCTCGTTCTTATATTACAAGTCCATTAACTGCCTGCTTAACATTGGAAAATTAGCGAAGGATTCGTGAAATGTGTGCGGCTTGACAAAGCGTAGAATAAACATATATTGTCATTTACAAATCGGTTTGGAATTATTTATGTTAAACTAACATGTGTGTAGTTCTTCTCGAATTATTCATCAGGCTCTAGTGAAATTGACTGGCATCGGCTGAACGTCCTTTTGTAATTATTGCATTCGTAATTCTATAGAATTTTCTCCTAATGAATAATGAAAAGCAGCTCCAATGGTTCTTGGTGGTCTTTTATGTAATCGCATTGAGCAGCTATCGGACAAGCAAACATTGTTAGGCAACAATTGAATTGGCGAGCTTGTTCAATGTGAATGATATGAATTTGATGACATGGATGGAGCACACATAGTTGAAAATAATGATGTACCACATATGCGACCGAGTTAATGGAAAGTGTATTTGCAATGATAATGAGTGGATAGTTTGCTGTTTAATCAGCAGTTGGTGTATTTGGCTACGGTCATTTCAGAAGACTTCAGGTTTGAAAGGATGAACTTGTATGTTTCGGTTGGTGGATATCCAAATGATTTTCAGGCGAACGCTGAAAAAGTGCGATCAAAGTCTTGGCGTCTGTAAATGGTGTTTGGTTCAATTAAACATTGTGCTTCTTTACACGCAGGGGCATTTCCAGTTTGCTTCCCTGCCATTTCAAAAGTTGATTACACGCATAAAATACAATTGGATGCGGTGCAATAAAAAAAACAGTTTTTTGCGTAACGTCCATAAAATGAGCACTTAAAAGCGACATAATTCCCGTTCCATTTGCGTTTTCGCGGTCATGGCCGATGTTCTAGTTTAACGCAATTTTCATTTCGTAGTTTCAATCCAGTCCGTTTCCACGCCATTTTCGTTGCAATAATAATTACGTGAAACAAAACAACGAGGAGTATTTTCGAATTTAATGGCCGTTGCAGAACAAAACATCATTAGCGCTGGCTGTTGGTTGTTTTCGTATTGGAGCAATTATCAATTTTTTTATCATAGATTAATTTTAATTAAGTAGACTGAAATGTTTTCGGCACTGTTTGTTGCGATGCTCTATTATTGAATGCTAGTGCCCAACATTAATTAGGCCACATTCAGTCGAGTCATGAAAATTAATGCAGCTCATGTGGCTTTTTCTTTCAAACACGTACATGTAATACAAAAACTCTTATCGATACGGCGTACATCATTCCACAAAGCTGCCTAGGGCTTCATTAAAGGGCCTCATCAAAATTCCCAGTAGGGAAGGAAGTTTGTGACAGTTTTCTGAATGGCCTAATTGCACCCGTCTATGCCTAGGGGATGACTAGTGTTACATGGGGGTTGTTTGAGTCGCCTAGATGCATCATTAGAATCATGCAAGGTTCTAAACCGGAAAAATTTAAGGCTGAAGGTTTCTGTGAACTGTTAGGGTTTGTCGAACGAGATAGACTTTCGCGGCCATTCCTTGAAACTAGTGAGTTTTTAGGCCGTCGTACAATAGAATTTCTTCCTGACGTTTCGCAAGCACGAGTGGCTTGCATCTTCAGAAGTGGTTTGCTTGAACGCTTACACTGTTCCGATGCGATTCTTCGGGCGCCGTCCGTATTTATGCACCGCTTGCATCTACAACAATATGCTTATCTAATAGAAAGTCCCCCTTACTCAAATTTTCAGTCTGAAATTTAAATTAAAAAAATTTCAAAATTTTCCGTGAGCTAGTGGAAACTACCATCGCGCCTTTTGCTACCGTTTTTTGAGTGAATTTCACTTTTTGAAAGGTGGTGTAAAACAGCATTGTTGCAGAAGAAACCTCTAGAAAAGCTGTTGCCATGGGGATTTTATGTGAGGCCAGCATATATTTACCTGCGCACGCGAGAGCTTGGTGTCTTTCCAGATAACCAAAAAAACGCAACTCACTTACCGAGAGATCAATCTTCAATCAAAGCAGCTTTAATGGATATCTTCTTCATGTTTTCCATTAACCACCACTACATATATTCTTTAAAGA